CCCGGCCAAACGCTGGCCACCGCCAGCCCCACTCCCCCAACCTAGGCCTCCCCTCCCCTCGCCTACGCCTGCGGTCTTCCTTGCCGGCCCCGCGCAGCCCAATAAGGCACCTTGAGGTGGGTCCGCAGGCCGCCAGCGCCCCCAGACTGGTCGGTGATCTCGTATGCTCCCGTCACCAGCAGGTCCTTGTGGATCTCCTCGCGGAGACACTTGCGAGAATTAATGGGCAGATGGAAAGAGATACCGAGGACTGAGCTGGGGCCGAGCAGGAACAAAAACAACGCCAACGGGCCGGGGCCAGGTCGGGCTCGTGGGCCAGACAAACCAGTCATGGTGCCGGAGACTCGTTCACCACCCGGGGCCTCTGCCGTGCCGGAACCGGGCAGACCACGTGATTCACCTCTGACCTCGCAGTGCTGCCGGCGCCATTTTGGAGAGTGGCCGACAGGAGAATGTGTAGCAAAATATGTTGAAAGAGTAAGAAGGTTATGGTGTTATATCCTAATCGCCAGTTTAAGTGGTTAAAAACATTTCTTAGGACGTTATAACAAAATTCTTATTGTCGTTGAGGCTAATGACTACTGAGTCGGCCATGTCAAGTATGGGCAGCCCTGGAAGTGATTCTGTTTTAACCTCCGGAAGCTGTAACCGCTCGTTTTAGGGGCCGTGCCACCATAGCAACCAAGCCCCAATAGGGAACAGCCACAGAGTCCTTCCCTGGGCCCGCCCACCGGTAGTCTTGGCTAGCAGCACCTGGCGGAGAGTGAGCCTGACACCTTCTGTGCCTTGCCTCCTTGGTGACAGCTGGGACATTGAGGCGCTTGAGAGAAAAATTTCAAGGAAAGAGTTTAATGTGGCTATTAGTGAGTGTGAGCCAGTATCTCTCAGAGAAGGTGTAGAGGCCCCCAGATGAATGTGACCAGGTAGATAGATGTCCAGGTAATGTCCGTCCCTGAGCAGGATGTTTGGGTTGGAATAAGAGTTTAGTTTTCTGAATGTGCATCTTATTTATTATTTGTTTAGCAAACACTGAGCGTTTACTGTGCCAGGTTTTCTTCAAACCAGAGTTTAATGTTTTATTTACGTGGAATAAAACAATATTTTGGTAGTTTTAGAGATGGGCAAAAAGTACAATTTAGCAGATTAGTGTTGTCAAGAGAGATAAGTATTTGTTTCAAATGCAAGCTGAATGGATCAAGTAGATGAGTCTAGATCAAGCAGACTCACATGTAAACACTCATGCATTTGTTACATTAACATTTATCAAGTATCCACAGTGTGCCAGGCACAATACCATGCTTGTACACTAACATGTTTATTAGTGTAATAAACCATTATTGAGATGTGTCAGATATTGAAAGCTGAAAAATATGGAGATAAATAAGAACATCCCAGAGCAATAGCATGTGCCTGTGTCCCAGCAACTTGGAGGATGAAGCAAAAGGATGCTTGAGCATGGAATTGCAGGCCAATTTAAGCAACATAGCAAGATTCTGCCTCTTGAAACAAAAGGGGCTCGGGATATAGCTCAGCAGCACCACGCCTGGCTGGAAAGGCCCTGAGTTTGATTCCGGTATCAAGAAGACAAACACAAAGCCAGGCTTGGCGGCACAACCTTGTAATCTCAGTGCTGAGAGACTGAGGCAAGAGGATCGCCTGGAGTTTGAGGCCAATCTGGGCTACATAGTAAATTCAACGCCAGCCTGACAAACAAAAAGAAACCCAAAAGTATGCAATAGTTTATATTTTTAGTCATTATCTGCATTAATTAATATTTATTGAGCATTAGCAAATACTCCAGAAGATGAATTTAGTAATTTAAATTGTTCTTTTTGTTTTTTATAATTCTTTTTAAATCCACCTAGGTCTTTTCCTGGAACTGAAGTCCCATAAATGAAAGAAGAACAAATGTCAAGAAGCTGTTAAACACTTTAAATTTTGACGAATGCCATAAAATAATTATTTTATGAGGTGTCCATTCGGGAACACTTAGTTTGATTGTTTTATCCTCAATGTAAGATAAGATTGCTAGTCTACTGAACATTTTAATTTATATCGGCCTTTCCCTGGTCAATGCGGGGAGTCATTACAGTTATCTAATTTATTGTTTGAAATCTTGAGGTTCTGCTGACCATTTGCAAGGGATTGGCAACCCATAAAATACCTGTGTGCATGTTTTCTTTTCTTTTTTTTTTTTTTTTTTTTTTTTTTTTTTTTTTCATTTTTTTTTTTTTTTTTTTTTTTTTTTGGTACCAGGGATCGAACTCGGGTCCTTGTGTTTGAGAGTCTGGCGGTGGAACCACTGAGCTAAATCCCGGCCCTTTCTTTACATTTTCATAATAGATTACACAATTTAAAATATTTTTACTGTGGTGATGGACGCCTGTATTTCTAGCACTTGGGAGGCTGAGGCAGGAGGAACACTGCAAGTTTTAGGCCAGCCTAGGCTACATAGTGAGATCTTGTCACAAACAAATAGACAAATGAGCCACTGTGTTCTCCATTGCATGGTGGCCCACCTTCATGCTGTAGAGTGTACTTCTTTTCCTATTTTTACTTGGCCCAAACTCACTGTGCAGAGCCTGTTTCTTCTCCTACCTTTAATAAAACTTTGGCTACTATTAAAAAATATTTTCACATATGTTTAATAATCTCATTTGACATAGTTCACAAAACTCTGTGAAATAGCAGCTATCCTCCTGCTTTACCCTCCAAGTAGCTGGGACAACAGGAATATGCTACTGCTCCAGGCTTGTATTCCTTGTTTACAGATGAGGAAACTGAGTTTCTGAGAAGTCAATGTTTGTGCTGCCTGTGAAAAATTATTTATGACACTTAGAGAACTTTATAGCAGATTCTATGCCAGGGGGCTATTGAGATTGAAATTCTGCACATGGAACGACCATAATAATGGGGCCTAGTAGAGAAGAGAGAGCTCAGTCTCAGCTCTGAAGACAGGAAAAAGTAGGAATTATAGCCAAGGATCAGGGTGGGATTCGGTGCGTAGAAAACTACTAAGAGGAAGGATCAAGAATGAGGGGAAGATTCTGACTCAAGTGACTCAGCAGGATTCTTGCTAAAATCAGACAGTGCACAGAAAAGTCCAAATGCCAAAGCCTGGTTGAGAAGAAAGTTCAGAACAGCCTACAGCATGAAGGTGGGCCACCATGCAATGGAGAACACAGTGGCTTGTTTGTTTTTTTTGTTTGTGACAAAGTCTCACTATGTAGTTCAGGCTAGCCTAAAACTTGCAGTGTTTCTCCTGCCTCAGCCTCCCAAGTACTGGGAAAACAGGCATCCATCACCACAGTAAAAATATTTTCAAATGTATAATCTATTATGAAAATGTAAAGAAAACATGCACACAGGTATTTTATGGGTTGTAAATCCCTTGCAAATGGTCAGTAGAGCCTCAGGACTTCAAATAATAAATTAGATAACTGTATTGACTCCCCGCATTGACCAGGGAAAGGCCAATGCAAAGTTCAGAATAAAGTCTGGGCAAAGAATTTTTCTGTTGTTGTTTTTTGTTTTTTTGAGGCAGGGTCTCATTATGTAGTTCAAACTGCCCTGGAACTCACTATGTAGCCTAGACTGGTCTCATACTCACAGTGATTCTCCTGCCTCAGTCTCCTGAGTGCAGGGATTACAGGTGTGGGCCACCACACCTGGCGAGAGAGAATCTTGTCAATACTCTAAATCCTATAATTTAGAAATGACAAAGGAGAAAAAAGAAAAAGAAAAACAAATGACAAAGGGCCCAGCCTTCCTCAGTAAGGTACTGTTATTTTTTATTTTGTAGATGAAGAAACAGGGTCTGAGAAGTTACTTCCCTGTGTCACTTGTCTGAAGATCTTTCTTGTCCACTTATTCATGGCTCCTGTCTCCACCTTCTGACCTTTATTGTCTCCCCCTTAGCTCTCCCCGTTTTCTCATTTAGCATTCATCTTACTTATCATTCCAATTTTAGTGTATATGCTGCTGAAGTGAGCACTCATCTTACTTACGTATCGTGTTTGCTGGTCTAACTCGACAGTCTATTTTGTGAAGGCAAAGAATTTTGTCTATTTTGATCAGATGTATCTTCTTAACCTAAAATAATTCCTGGGATTTAGGAGGATAAATAACTATTCTGTGAATGTAAGGCTCTGCTTCTTTGGTGCCTATCAGGAGGTCTAAAAGCAAATTCTTTTTATTTTTCCTTAGCTGTTTTCATGCAAATTTCATGCAAATTTCATGAATCCATAATGTAAGGTGTAGTTGACTTCAGTTTCCTTCTACACTATGGAGTTGGAGGGCAACCCTTACAGAACCAAAACTTTTAAAAACCACCTGCACTAAATCAGGTCCAGTACGGTGGAGCCTTGACTTATGAACTCAGTTTGTTTGCAAGGGCTGGTTGTAACTCAAATTGGCCAGTTGAAGGCTCATTCTCATCTACACGGCTTTCAAAAGTCTCTCTCCTGTACACAGGCAGATCTCAGTGTCCTTAGAGAGACATTGGCCCAGGGTCTCTCAATCAATCCCACACAAGAAAGGATGTTGTAAGGTTCCTTCCCAAACTCTTTAAGGGTTAACTCTGTATCCGAGACCATCTGGAAGCCCAAGTGGCCGACATTTGGATCTTAATACTTTGGTTGTAAGTTAAAATTTGGGTCCTAACCCAAGTTGATCATATGTCAGGCTGGCTGTAACTTGAGGGTCCGTTGTACCATTTTACATCCCTATGTGAGAAAGGCCTCCTTTGGGATTGGAAAGCGAATGGAATGTGCCCCACAACCAGAGGAAATGCTTCTTCCTGGCCACCAGCCCTCGGCCATCCAGTCATCCTGAAACTTCCTCAGCCAGATCCACCTAAGATCCACGGGAGGCTCTGGTGGTAAAGAAACATCAGGAGAATACACCCTTTACCCAGGCTCTCCCTCAGCCACAGGATTCTCAAGTTTTCCTTTGGATACGGGGGAGTGTGTTTAAAACACACCCAGACAGTGAATCAGAAGCTCTTATTAAAAATGGGCATTTGTGAGGGACGGGAGAGAGGAGAAAGGGGAAGTAAAAAGAATGGAGATGTGTTATGTACATGCACCAACTCCCCGTAATGAATGTAACCATTATGTACTGCAAACATGTACTAATAAAAATATTTTTTAATCAGCGTTTATAATAAGCTTGTTGGTGATTCTGTGGCTGGGAGTCCTTAGGATCGCTTTGAGCCTCTCCTGCCACCTCCTTTAACCAGCCTGATCCTCCAGGGTGGCTTAAAGCTCCTCAGTGTCAGTGCATGAGCCATCAGGAATCCCTAACTCTGGTGTTCCTGCCCATTCATGTGTACAGTCTCCCTCACGGTGTGTATTTACACAGCTAGGACAAGGTGGGTTCTGTGAAGACATAAAA